AATCACATAAAGTCATATTATAACATCGACTGAGATAAAAAATAAAATGAAATATTAAAATCACGATGTAACTCGCTGCATTGCGCGAGTACGCTTCTAGTTCATTAAACATGCATTAATTCATTAACATGTGTATACCTGTGGGCCTTCTTTTCATGGGGGTTTATGATTAAGAAGTCAGTCTACTTGAGTTTGGAACCATGAAACAACGATGGAAACAAGAATCAATGGATTGTAAATCACCAGGCTGTGTTATTTTGTGGAAGGGAATCATTTTAATGGTTGGGATCCCCTGAGGAAGGGTACCAAAAAGTTATCAGTATTGAAACAGTAACACACATTTCAGGTTGTTTCATTTGTAATAATACATGATGAATTATTTTCCATTCTTGAAAAATGGCCTTGAAATGGTTATATATCTGAGTATGGCGAAAACATGAACTGTATGATCACTCATCAAATTTATTTGTTTAAAAATGTATTCATATAATTATAAAGAAAACGAACTCAAATCCAGTGTTGGTATATTGTGCAGCTTATGACAGCTATGACTTGTTACCTGCAACGAAACATCAATCGTAATGTCCTTTGAGTCATTATTTTGTTGTTATTTTACAATACTGTTATTCATTGTAATGCCTCCATGCTTGTATTTAGAAAGATTTGTAATAAAATCCGCTTTCATTTCTTTTTGGTGAAAAATTTGCAGGACCGATAACGTGAAACGCTAATGAGTTCAAGAATGTTACAAAATAATCTTATTGACTCATAATAACATACATATTTACTAACAAAAAATTAAGCAGGTCACATAATCCATTTTTAGGACATTAAGGGGACATTTACCAAATACTTACCCGGTAAGTGCTTAACGGTAAAATTTAAAACTACTATTTACTTATCAGGTAAGATTTTAGTCCACCAAAACGACATCGCATGTAGCAATTTACACGGTAAGCGCTTACCGTGGTAAGAGTTGTCGCTCTCACTTACCAGGTAAGACTCTTGATCCCTGTCTCGCTCTTACCGGGTAAGATTCTTGGTCCATACCATATTCATCCGTTGAAGTAATTTGACTTGGTAAATGATTATCCGGATAAGTGTTTGGTAAACGACCCCTACTTAATTTCCATGAATTGATATATTTTAATTAACAATAAGTTACACATTTTGGTATGAATTTTTATGTTCTCTTTATTGTCAAAACATCATAATGTTAATTGTTAACAATGTTAACTCATTACTGTTAAATTAAGCATGACATGTAATTAAAACTGAATTAAAAGAAACATTTTACACGTTAATAACATGCATGCATACTAATACTGCAAATGAAAATGATGGTTATATCATAAGTTTACCTTAGACAAGGGTAAAAATGGTGTTCATGTTCGTACTATACTATTACTGGTACAGGTATATACCGACAATTATTTTAGATTGATGTGTCAGAGGTTAAGACTGCAACAAGAGCAACCTTTCATTTTTGACAACCAAACTAGATAGAAAATCTACCATTCAAAGACAAAATAAAATGACTCTACACTGCTTGCTTATCATGGAGACGCAAGAAAAAGAGTCCAAAAAATAGCATTAAATGCATCGATAAACTATATCGTGCCATTTTATATTCTGGTAACGTCAAAATTGTACGTTGCTTAATACGTTTGAAATTATTTTAAATATAAATAGTCAATATAGCTTTAAAGAAATAAAAAATGAATGAATTTCACTATTTTGAACGGTTCAGTATTTCAATAATATATATTTTTATATAAAGAATAATTAATTTTAAATAGGAGAAATTGCATGAAAAAAATAACGCACGTTAACTTAATTACTATTTGGGATAACGTACTTTCAGAACTTTAATTTTGGTACTTGAGATGTAAAGTTTTAAACATTTAAGTACTCGAGTAACCGGTTAAAGCATTAACTCTTTATTATGATAAACCACAATACATAAAAACTAAATTTAAATTAAGATATCCATGTCAGCAAATAATATTGAGTTAGATACCACATCCATTTCCACATCAACATGGTAACCAGTTAATGCTTCAACCGGTTATCCGGATACTTAAATGTTTAAATTTTAATCTTAGATATCAAAATAAAAGTTTTAAAAGTAGGTTATCCAAAATAAAAATCAAGTTAAAGTACATTACTTTTTCATTCAATTTGCTCTTTCAAATACAAGGAAAGTGTTGTAATATTTCTCCACTTAGTTAATTTTGAGTTTTTGACTGTTTTTTTTTTACTCAATTGACGCCGAATTCAATTTTTTTTCCTCACAATTTACTGGTTGCAAATTGTACCATTGCTTGAGGTTTGTACGGAAAAAGAAACCCTAATATGTTGCTTTTTACCAGCAAAGAGAAAAAGCGACAAGTGATGATTAATTTAACAACTGAATTTTTAAGTTACAAATCTTGATTGATAATGCAAATGATAACAATGTGAAACATCAATACGCAAAATTGGTTTGAACTTGAGTACCTGCTACCTAACGAAGAAACACATATTCACATTATATAAACATGTTTTTGGATTTTTAACGGATGAATGTTAATTGCTAAAACAATGATTTAAATCCTTTTAATAAAAAACAACGATAAACAAATATGAGGTTAATTAAAGTTGTTGATAATCAATTTTTTGTTAAAATACAAAATAATAATAAAAAATTGAAAATTAAAATTGGGATATCGGAATCAAAATGTCACAAAATTAAAAAACCCGTATTTTCATTTGGACATTTAATAACATGCATCAAATTTCATATAAAAGATATATATTAGAGAGAGAGAGAGAGAGATGAGATCATTGAGACTCACTACTAGAAAACTGGGTATTTCAGGCGGAATTTTTCCGCCGGAAATTTTCCGGCGGATTTCCGGCGGAAATTAACAAAGTCAACTTTTGTTGACTTCCGCCGGAGCTCCGCCGGAAATCCGCCGGAAAWYYTAAATCGGTAATAATTCCGGCGGATTTCCGGCGAATTTATTAATTAAGGGTTAAGATTGTTTTGGATATAATTTTCGTATCTATCACTATTTTTGCCTGGAAACGTCCCATTTACAGCCGTTATGCTGTCAAAATTGACTTGCAATATTTTTTAAACCATATATAGGATGAGTATTCAATGGGCCTTACCCAAAGATACGGCGATGATCCCTCTACCTACCCCTTAGTTGATAAAGAGCTGTGGGAGCAAGCGGTTGGGGGAAGCAAAAAAGGTCGTTTATTTGGGTTTGGGTACAACCAAGATCTCAATTGTGTCTTGACCGGCAACTACACGGAAGCTGCTTCATCGTCTTCGGAACAACGGGTATGTGTTTTTTCTTTTGATGATGTTTATCGATCTAGTTTATAATTCATATTAAATTTAAATATTCTAACGTTTTATTTATTTTTATAGAAAATTGTAAACTTAGAGGCCAAAGTTATGGATCTACAAGAAGAAAATGAGCGTCGACGGACGGTAGAGGAGCAACTTCTGAAACAAATGCAGGATATGACTGCTTTGGTTAACGAACTMCGTCAATCACAATTCCCACCGCCATCTAATTGAATATTATTTGTTTATTTGGAACAATCTACTTTGTTTGTAACATTGTGTGATACTTTAAATTGTATGTTTTGTAACAATTGTTTATTTTAATCAATGTATGATATTTAGTTGCATTTTAGTTTTATCCATATTTTTACAGATTTACAAGATTTAAATATTTACTGAAAAAAAAAAGTTTTTTTAAAAAATATATATATTTCCGGCGGATTTTTCCGCCGGAAAATTTTTAAAATTTTTTTTGAATTTTTTTTATTTAAATTTTAAAAAAAAAGGAAAAAAAAATTACCGACGGATTTCCGGCGGATTTGGCCGCCGGTATTTTTTTAATTTTTTTTTTTTTGGGAAATCTTATTTAATTAAGTTTTTCCGGCGAGAAAATACTCCGGCGGATTTCAAGCGAATTTTTCCGCCGGAAAAGTTTTAAAATTTTTTAATTAACGGTAAACCAAGTTTCTTAATTTTTCCGGCGAAAGATTTCCGGCGGCCGTTTTCCGCCGGAAAATGGAAAAATCCGCCGGAAAAATCGACGGAAATAAAAACAGCGGCGCCCTCTTTTCCGGCGGACATATCCGCCGGAAATCCGCCGGAAAACCCAATTTCCGACGGATATGTCCGCCGGAAAAGAGGGTAATTTTGGTAGTGTTGTTTTAATGCGACTGTGAGATCATACAAATAATATCAAATCTTCACAGCAAAACGCTAGTGTTTTCGCTATGAAGGTTCAATATTTTTTATACATATATAATATTTTACTGTGAAGTTTCAGTGTTATTTTATAATCATACGAGTCTCAAGAAAATAAGCTGGTTCACATTAAACCAACTCTCCCTCCCTCCCTCCCTCCCTCCCTCCTTCCTTCTTGTATATGTATATTGATAGGTTCACTATTATAATACGATGTTTTGAACAAGTAGAATAGTGCCCTCTTAAAGTTCCATTATCATACCTTCGAGCCATAGGAGAACGTTATTTAAGTAATTCATATACACTTTACGATATACGTATTATTTCGATGATGCTAGTACGATCATGCATATTCCATAACTAATATGAAGGAAACTCAAACTCGAAGTCATCCATTGCCCACCACTCTTTGTTAATATCCTTCCCAATTCTAGTGGCATCATATGCAGCCCCGAAAAGACCTCGGTTAGTAAACCCTATTGCATACAATCCGTTTTCTCCTTTCCAACCATTTGGAAACGGGGTTTTCGGTATTCCTTTATCAGTAAAAAAGTCACATCCCTACATCGAAAGTATCTCCAATAAAAACGTTATACTTAATGACATTATATAATCGTAAAAGATATAATATTCAATGTTGTTTCTAAAAAAACTCACTAAGAGAGGAGTAAGAAAAGAGAGTAATTGATGATGGTAACACATCATAAAATGTGATGTGATAACAAAATACACACATATGAATACGTATAGTACATATACATATACATATACATATACATATGTAAATGATATTCATACACCATGTAATTTAAATATCTTTTATATTTAATTTATATGTTGTGTAATTATATTATTTAAACAATTACTAGTAGTAAAGTTTATGTTGGTGATTTTAGTGTAATTGCGATTTACGTGAGTGAGTTAGAAGGTGCGGAATGCACACTCACAAATGTTTTAGATCGCCTCAAGGGGGAGGTCAAAGGGGTCGCGCCCCTAACGGGGTCTTAAGAGCAATGCCGCTAGCGTTGGTCCTGCTATGGTTTCTAAGAAGAGGTTTACTTAGGAATTTTGAGTTTCGAGAAGTTTTGAATATATTTCAAAAGGTAAGAAACCTTCTCGAAATATTGCTGAAACTTGGTAAAATTGGCAAACTATTGTTCAGAGGATGTGGACTGAGAGATTTTGAGACTTAAGCTCATAGCCTTGAAGCTATCATGAGTTTTCTCTAAGTGTAAAACCAGAGCCTCTGGATCGTGCGACTAGAGCCTTTCGTCTATGTGATCAGGGCCTCTGGACTTGTTGCTTCTAGTTTTAAGACAATTGTACATGCTCCCAAGTTTTATTGGTTAACCGTTATAACGATCATGCATTTATTTCTTAAGCCGTTTTAACCACTTATAACCGCCGATATCTCATAGTAATATGTAAACGAGAACCTGAATGTATATAAAGTAGGGGTGTTCATCCAAACCGTCAAACTGTACAAACACGTCCCTACCACATCACAAAGCGTAATGTAAAACATCTGCATTGCGGTATGTGGTTTGTATTTTTACCAAACCCGCACTATGCGATGCAGTTTGGTTTGCGACGTTTTGAGTTATCAAACCGTGGTTCAATCCATACTGCACCACATATTTTATATATTTTTTAATTATATATATGAAGGATCAAAGATGAACTGAAAGAAAAAATGATTGGACAATCGGACACGTCACAACACACACGACCAATTTAGTTTGAAGTTTATTTTTTTACTTTTAATTAGACTATTTGTAATTATGCAATATGTTTTTGGGAATCAGATGTATTGAAACCATTTAATTTTTGGACTATGGTCATGTTATCGTTGATATCATAATGTATTTTCAAACTTACAATTATTGAACTATAGGCATAAAATGCAATAGATACAAACCATAAAAACCACACCTCATTTTGCGATGCAGTTCCCTAGGGTTTGAGATTTATTCGATACAGTTTACACTTTTGAAAAAAAAATGTTCAAACTGCATACACCGTGGGGACCAAATCGCACCACAAACACCCGTAATATAAAAACTCGATTTTACAACCTTTAAAATTAGAGTTTTCAGTTCGATTATATCAATACAAAATTCGTGATACTCAAAAGAAATTGAGATTTAAGGGTCAAGTTATTATATTGGGAAAACATATTTTCCACGATTTAATACAATTAAATTATTGGAAGATGATGAAGGTGAAAAAGTCAAATAAAGTCAAAGTGTGATGAGATCATGCCATGCATATATGCATTAATATTACCTTGAGCCAAGATGGCACGTTGCTCTTATAACCAGTTGCCAACACTATGCAATCACACTCGAGTTCTTGCCCATCCATCAATTTGACTCCATTCTTACTAATTTCTTTCACTCCTTGTTCAACCACCTACGATTAATTAAAACATTTAAATAAAATATAAATAATTCAATAAACATTAATTCTCCATAACTTTATATTATAACAAAATTGGTTTTATGAGACACTGAAAATGTTTAATCGTACTAATAAAATACTTTATAAGACTTAAGTTTATAGGGCCAAACCAATAAAAATTATATTTAAACGTGTTACAATAGATCTGTAGAATATTTTAACGAGTTTTTTAGGACACTTTTAAAATAAAGTGTTGTATTAACTATTTTTATACGACATTATTTGAAAAAGTATTCTATAAACCTAAGTGTCACATAAAAAGATGAGGTTATAGGACAATTATGAGAAGTGTCCTATAAGATAACTAGGGTTGAGTTCCAGTGAGAAGTGTAAGAAGTGATCTCCACTTTTGGATGCACATTTAGGATGAGATCACCAAGATGAGATATACCAGATCAATCCCAGTATCAAGTGCGTTTCATGGGTTGTTTGAGATTAAAGCTGGTGATCGATGGTCTAGATTCCTTCTTACGCTTCTCATTTAACTCTCCTTTTCACACGATCATTTGTCAAAGATAACTAATTATGCACAATTTATTCCATAAAACGTCCTTAGAAAACTTGTTAAAACGCTCTGAAGCGTCATATATACTTATTGTAACGCTTTTATATGTACATAGGACATTTGATACTTTGGTCCTATAAACTTAAGTTCATTAAAGCATGCTATTATTTAGACATTATATACGTCCTATAAAACGAGTTTTGTTGTACAGCGGAGTACACCGTAACATGTGAATATACCGAACCTTGATGTTCCCGGTTTTGACTTCCGATAAAGCTCCAACATCAACAACCGGAGTCCTTCCGCTTGTGAGTTTGAGCTCCATCGGACCTGTTTTTGGGCGTCGAATGCCGAATTTATCTATGTCTCCAAGAATATGCTTGGTTATAGACAGAATTATCTTGTCCACGAGCTTAATAGGTAGCCATTTGAGAAGTGTCATAGCTACTCCAAACGTTGAGAATCCAAACATTTCTCTCGGCACAACATGAACCTGAAAATCCATTAAGTATCCTGTAAAATAGCTAATAGAACATTTTATTTTAAAAACGTTCTGAATATAAACCTATTACAAAAATTTTATATATATAGAACGTTTTGTAGGTGGTGTTATAAACCTAAGTTTTGTAAATTATTATATTAGAATGTTTATATAAAACCAATTTTGTTTGCGGCTAAAATTAATAAACTTACAGAACTTCGAACCACAATAAAAGGAATCGCTTTGTGATTGCAAAGATCCAAGCTAATTTCCATGCCAGAGTTCCCACATCCAACAACCAAAACCCTCTTGTCTTTAAACTCATATCCATTCTTATACTCACTTGCATGCAGAAGGGGTCCCTCAAACGTCTCTAACCCTGGAATCTCCGGCACTAGAGCCTCAGCATTCTCGCCGGTAGCCACCACCAGCCACCGTGATTCATACCCACTGTCTTGTGTTTTCACCCTCCAAACCCCACGCTCAAACTCAAAAACAGCACTCTCTACTGTCTGGTTGAACATTGGCTTGATTTTGAAGTGGTCTGCATAAGCCGTTATGTATGCAATGAACTGGTCTCTAGTGGGGTATGTTGGGAAATTCTTTGGGTACCCTAGCAATGGAAGCTCACATAGTTTCTTGGGGAGATGGAGTTTCACAATGTTATAGGTTTTGTATTGCCATAGAGACGCTATGCAATCACTTCTCTCAAGAACAAGAGAAGGAATGCCATTTTCTTTCAGGCAAGCTGCTACTGCTATACCAGATGGTCCAGCTCCTACAATGATTGGTCCATGAACTTTGATGAAAATTTCATCTTTTTGGGTGGAACCCATCAACACTTGATCTTTTCCAAAAGATCCCATTTTCTCAAGAAAGTTAAAACCAACACCGGACGACAAATGAAATGAAGCAAAAACGACGATAAGCTCCTCCTCGTTTCTTAATTATCTTTCAACACTAACTTGGAGTTTACAAAGGTGCTGAGGTGAGACAAATAGGTAGGTGTTCATTGGGACTCAGTTTTCTGACTGTTTTTGAATGCAAAATGAGATTTTATGACAAGTAATTTGTAGAGGTGTAAGAATGGATGATGAGTGAAGGATACGAAAAGGATCGATCTGGTTTTGTCTTTCTCTAGGCTCTTTCTGGTCAGGTTTTTCTCTGCATACATATATATATATATATATATATATATGAGCGATCAAATGAATGTGGTGTTTAATCTTATGGAATTTTTTCATGAAATTGTTTAATCTTGTGAAATTGTTTCATATAATACTTTTTTTGATGAATTTGTTTTATATATGGTTATGAAATTGTTTCATATAATATTTAATAAAATTTTAATAAAACTGTTTCATATATTTCTCTAAAATTAAAATTAAAATAATGAGAATGATAATATTCATGATTAACACCCTCCACAATAAAAATGGTTAATCAACCTCTAAAAATTACAAAAAATGAACAAAATAAAAAATTATGATTAGTTGAATAAGGTTTTCACGGTTTATACAAATTAGATGATTTCTATTTAACTCTTTCTCTCTCTCTAATCTCTCTCTATATATATATTGAGAGAGAGAGAGAGAGAGATTGAACTTTAAAAGTGAAGTGAAGTAAGGGGGCAAAGGGGAGAGTGAAGCTATAAATACATTTATGTGTGTGTTTTACCATGTGTGGTATTGACTTGAATTTATAGGCCAACTCGCACTAATTTTTGCGCGCGGAAAGTCATGGCTTTATTTGTGTGGTATTCCCAAATGGGCGTTAAAATTTGTGTTAATTAATTAACAAGTACTAGGGTTTTTTGGTTGCGGTTTAATGAGTTGTATAACCTATATGACTTATATACAGAGCCATATCTAGTTGTTCGATATGGACCGACCAACTGAATTGCTCAGCTAAATAACTTGTGTCCTTCGTATTCAGCCTTTATTTTTCCTCAACTACCCCTCTCCCAACTTTTTATCCGCCTCCATAACTTGAAGTATATAAGTGATCATAGCCTTTTATACTGTCAAGATTGATCAAAAATTACAGCTTTGATTGATCAAAAGATTGCGACTTTAATTGGTCAATATTTGGGTGCCACGGTGTGAAAATTATATGATAACAAGAATCTGAAAACAAAATAATGTCAAATTAAGTGCATATTATTTTGAATGTAGAGTGCAAATAAAATTTTAGATTACCACACATAAACTAGAACAATTTAGGGATCGTTTACCAACACTTACCTGGTTCGTGTTTACCCGTAAAATTTAATACTATTATTTACTTATCGGGTAAGATTTTAGTCCACCAAAACAACATTGTATGCAACAATTTACCCGGTAAGCGCTTACCGTCGTAAGAGTCGTCACCCTCACTTACCGGGTAAGACTCTTGGTCTTTGTATCGCTCTTACCGGGTAAGATTCTTGGTCTTTACCATATTCATGCGATAAGATAATGTTACTTGGTAAGCGCTTACCCGGGTAAGCTTTTGGTAAACGGCCCCTCAGTTCAACATAACCTATGCGGTGGAGATTTTTCTGATTGTAATGTATACATTGAATTTAGGGAAAACCTAAAAAATCTTAATAAACTTTTTCATTTTAAATGGTTTTGTCTCTAAATTATTTTTTTAAATAAAAAAATAATTAAATTTTCTCGTTTTGAATTGTTAAGCCATTGGACTATTTTTTTTGAATGAAAAAGACATTAAACTTTCTTTTTTTAATGAAAAGATCATTAAACTTTTTTTTTTGTGAATGAAAAATCATTATATCTTTTCATTTTGATTAATTAAGTTCTTGAACATTTTTAGTACATAAATTATCGCACTTTTAAAAATTAGTTATCTACATTATTTTAATCCAAAAAACGTTACATTAACCAACTAGTAGAAGTTTGATTGTTTATTTATTTTATAAAAAAAATTCAAGGTCTCAATCATCCAAAATGTAAAAGTTTAATGGTTTTTTTGTTCATAAAAATAATAGTTCAATGACTTAATTATTTAAAATGAAATAATTTAATGGTTTGTTCATTCAAAAATATAGTCTAATGACTAAAATAAATCATTTAAAATGAAAAAATTTGTTGAGTTTCTTTTAATTTTTTTTTTCTGATCAGGTCATGATGTGAAGAATAAGGCCAACTTATTATATACATTGTAATGTACGATTACAATAATGCTATATTTGAAGTTGTAATGTATGAATTAAAATGAGGCTAATATAGTTTAATTGTAGCGTATACGATAAAATATTACTTTACGTTTATATATTTTTCAGTTGCATTATTTAATATTATTTACATGTTTATCATATCTATTACGAAGTTTTCATTTGAATTTTGTTCAAAAATATTATGACAAATAATCAATTTACAAAAACGGGATTCCATTTTGTACACTTTTGAGATAAAACGTCAAATTAAGGTTCTACAAAAAGATGCAAACATAAGACAATTCTAAAAATTTCTTATAAAATAGTTAATGTGACACTATTTTTTTTAATGTTCTATATAACCTGTTAAAATGTTCAAAAACGTCTATAGACTTATTGTAACACTTTTAGATAAAACCCTTTATTATTGTACTTATAAACTTACGTCCTATAAAACAGTTTATAAAGACACTTAGGGGCCGTTTACCCAATTGCTTATCCGGTAAACGTTTACCGATATGAGTCAACACTATAATTTATTTTGATGCGTAAGATTTTAGTATATATCAAAATATATCGAATGCAACAATTTACTGGGTAAGAGTCATAATCTTTACTTACCGGGTAAGACTCTCCATCCTTTTCATCGCTCTTACCCGGTAAAATTCTTGGTCCTTCTCATGTTCATCCGATGAGAAAATTTATCTGATAAACACTTACCAAGTAAGTGTTTAGTAAACGTCCCCTTATACGTTTTAACGTCATTTACACCCAATTTTTGATATAACGATATCATATATTTTTGTATATAACTGTGAATAACAAGAATAATAGTTTGATAATATCATTATTTCCGTTAAATATTTCTCTGTTTTAACCATATTATGTTTAGTTATTAATTTGATGTGGGATACCATCATATTGTATTAAATAAACAGAGTAAATTACGATTTTTGTCCTTGTAGTTTGTTAATAATTTCACTTTTTGTCCTAGTTTAGAAATTGTGATTTTCATTTCCATGGTTTACAATTTATTACTATTTGCGTTCCCTGAACTAATTTCTACCTTTAAGTACAAGAAACCAGAACAGTAACAAATTGTAAATCACAGGGACCGAAACAACAACAAATTGTAAATCATAAGGATGAAAGTAACAATGAATCACGAATCATATGAACGAAAACGGCAATTTCTAAATCACATAAATGAAAATCGCAATTTTTAACAAACCACATGGACGAAAACATAATTTACTCTAAATAATAAATTGCTTTGAGCATTATTTCAGAAAGTCAAATTTTAAATAATAATTTTGGACAGGTAACCAAAACAAATTAAAAAGGGACCAATTAAGACCGGTCAATCGTATCAGTAAAACATTTCAACATAGAATTGGTTAATGTACTGGTTAACAAGGAAACGATGTAGGGATAGAGACCGATTTTTGAATTTCTTTTTGTAACATATCACACCTCTATTGTTCAACAAAGTTAACGTTTTTGTTTTTTTTACGATCATTTATTTGTAAATTTGCCATCGTCAAAGTAATCATCGACCATTGCCGAAAATGCTGGCTTGACAAAAGTGTTACTTGCCGTAGGACAATTGGAAACCATAAGGACGAAAATTGTAATTTTTGATAAACCAAAGGGACAAAATGTGTAGTTTACTTTACTCTATATTAGAATCAGAAACTGTATTGGGCCAATTTGGTTATTAGAGATGTTGGGCCAGCCTATTTTAAAATTTAAATTACCAGTGAAGGTTATAATGATTGAAAACCTATTTAAGGCACTACAACAACTTTGACAAAAATTGCCAAAAACAACTTGGAATGTTTTTGATGATACATTATGTTGTTTTGTGGTGTGCCAATATCTCCCAACATTGTAGTTAGCTCAAAATCAAGAACATTGCCACCGAAGGAGAAGAGAAAAAAACAAATGAAAGTGGGTTTTATCACACCTGGCTGTAATCTGCTTTATAAAGGTAATTTTCGATATATGCTTGGCAATGCCCATAACTTGTTTGATGAAATGATTCTCACCAAGCTGCTTTGTGTTTTACCCTGTGCTTCATGCATACATTCATCCGTGGTGTGCTTTGTTTTGAATAAGTATTGCATCTAGAGTTTCCATGTCTTTGTTTGATCTGAATTCTCTTCAAGTTTGAATTATGGTAATACTGATCGGGTGGGTGTCTATTGTATCTTACTGCTCAAAATTTCTTGCTTTCATTCCGAATAAATACATACTGTTTCCATATATATAAGGACTCATAACTCTGTAGTCATTAGGACATAGATTTGGGCTAATGACATCAACTAACTAATAGAATGCTAGAAAATGAAACAAGTTTCTTGATTTACATACTGCCAATTGCTTCCTGTACTTCCACGATCTCGTTGTTGATGGACTTGATGATCTTTTACTACCGTTTTTGGAAGTTAAATGCCTTGATGGAATATGCGAAAATGAATCCAAACAGGACAGTAAATCCAACAATGATTACTGCTACATATCGTATAAAGTCGTATTCAAACCCATAAAAACTGTGGACAAACTCTGCAACTGTTTCGCCTGTATCAAGCTTGTCTGTTATGTCCCCAAACTGTGAAGCAACCAACCCATATAATGTCCAAGCGATAGGACAGATATAATAATACCATCTCCACCATATGGGCATCCTCTGTTTATCGCATAGGAAAAAGTTCAGGAGTTGTTTTCTTGAGTTATAATTAAGTTTTACATAGATATAAATAAGGATAGTTTTAAACTTACCGTCCTTGGAACAATGAACCCGGAAAACAGATTCCATATTGCGTAAAATGCCGATGAGATGATAGCAGCAAAGTTGTGGTTTGGCGTTACTGCAACCGTCATCATCCCATAAAACGTGAAGTACAAGAAGGTGAAGTACATAAAGAAGAGATACCAAAAGAACTTGACTGCTGTCCACTCGAATCCAATCATTGCGTATACGATGATCCCATAGACAATAGTCTGAACAAAGATGTATGGGATCTCGATCATAACCTGTATAACACCTTAGATGAGTAAAACAAGATTCATAGCGTTCATTTCGAGCAATGAAAGATAAGCAGGAAAACTAGGACCAAATGGTGAAGAATGATTTAGAAACCCGATATTATACCTGTCCGAAAGCATATGGCAAAGCTGAATACATCCCAGCAGCTCTTTCCCTGTAAAAGACTGTTCTTTCGATGGAAACAACTGGCTGCACTGATGTAGCATTTTGTACTCCGATAAAGAGTATAGCAGCATACATAGAACCCATCGCGTTAAAAAGATCTTGTTGCTTTTCTCTGTAAGCAGTAGAGCAGGGAAACACAAGTTTAATAGAAGATCCATCATTTATCTTTTTCATTAATGTTAATTAACTCCATCTGCTTACCTTTTGGAGCCCATATCCCAGAAGATTGTGCCAAACATCAAAGCTATAAAGGTTGTAAATAAGAAACGCACTGCAGTGTATGGAGGGTTTCGCCAATATGACCAATGCTGTTTCCACAGACATGCCATACATTGCGTCCAAAAAGATTGCGAATACTGAGTGCGGAACTGTATATCAGCAGAACCAGGTATAGGCCGGCTACTTTCCTTTATCGTCTCTTTATTTCTCCTGAAAAAGTCACCGAAAACCGTAATCAGGAAATGAGCAAATTGAGTTCTAGTAGGAGTATCGAGTGATGCAATAACCCTACTTGTATAGTTCGGAGTTCTTGTACACTTCTGCGAAGTTAACCCCTAGAGTTGCTTCATGTGCTGCTGAAGTCACTTCTAACATCCAAGTTGCAGGATTGTAACCGTCTTTAATTTTATTCACTCCTTCTATTTCCTTTATTGAAGACAATTTGTTGATGTTATTACTTCAATTAAAGTAATGGAAGAATCAAAATTTTTTATATGTTCATTATACTGACCTCAAAGTACGTAATTAATTGCGAAGAATGGCGTCCTAATGGACCGACATATATTTCTTCACCTCCTCTTTTTAAAAGAAAAAGCTGTGTTTCAGAAAAATTGCTGATTAGTTTCCTTGTGGTTGACTAGAAATCTAATGTGTTTTATCTGATCAAAACCTACCTCATCAAAAGCATCAAAGATGTCGATACTTGGCTGATGTATGGTGCAGACCACTGTTCTTCCTGTGTCAACTGTGTTTCTAACTGTTCTCATGACTATTGCTGCTGCTCTTGCATCAAGTCCTGATGTGGGCTCATCCATAAAAATTATAGATGGGTTTGCTACTAGCTCTACTGCAATCGTCAGCCTCTTCCGCTGTTCTGTTGAAAGCCCGTTCACTCCAGGTAACCCCACAAGTGCTTCCCTAAGTGGAATCAGCTCCACAAGCTCCATCACCTCCTCAACGAACATCTATGGATGATAAGAATTAACATCAAATATTCAGCTAATGTTATCACATATATACTGGGAAAAAGAAACTACAATTGATTCTTGAATGGAATTGAAGTGGGTGTGCTTTATTTCACCTCTCTGGTTGCTGAATCAACTTCAGGAGGTAACCGGAGCCATGCAGAATATTGCAAGGACTCATAGATTGTGACGTGAGGGGAGTGAATATCAGTTTGCTCACAATATCCTGCTATGCGAGCAAATGTTTCTTGCTTCTTTGGGTACCCAGAGATACTGATTCTTCCGTCGATATATCCACCTGTTTTCCTTCCAGCTAAAACATCCATTAAGGTGGTCTTACCAGCACCACTAATCCCCATCAGAGCTGTGAGAACTCCTGGCCTAAAAGCACCACTCACACCCTTTAGTAGTTCTAGCCGGTCTCGGGATACACCTTGAGCTTTCATTTCCTGAGGCATATCCACTGCATATTTTATGTCATCAAATGTGATGGAAAGGGGCACAAAAGGTAGAACCATTCCACGCTTCTTGGTCTGATCTGTTCCATTAATACTGCCCACTCTTGATGACATTGACATAGACGATGCATTTCTTCGAACTTCACTTTTTCTTTCTGCATTTTTTAATATAGATAATGTTACTACAGATTCAGTGATTAAGGCATGCATTGGTTCTTGATGACCCACCTGACGGAGCTCTTACTAATAATTCTTTACCTGTTTTCATAGCTGTTCTCTCAGCCAAGCTTTCTTCGGATAGAACTGCCTGAGGATTCCCAAAGGCTGCATCAAATGACCCATTCATTGGCACAGGTTAAATCACAGGTATTTGATAATCTACACTTTTCTAGAGCTTAATATCATATACAAAACATAAGGTGGATTAATTCCTTACGATTGAGGTATTCAAGAGCCAAGGTGAAGCAGATATTGAAGAGGAAAATGTATCCAACTGAAGCAGCTACGGCTATCCAATACCATTTTGCTTCTGGGAAAATTCCACGAGACTTAAGGACAGAGACACCAATTGTTTCTGTGGAGTTGGGTAAAACCTGCAGGACACATTTTCTGTAAGGTTAGATGATATATCTTGACTTGATTTACACTTCCTGCATGGCCAGTGAATTTAGATGATGTATCTCATCAGTCATCACTACTTTCTATCTTTCATAAACATTGTGTTAGCTTTAATGATGCTTACTTTATTCCAACTCTTTCCAAGGAATTCATTGACAGCCATACCATTCTGTCCGTACATCATAGGTGAAAACCAATAACACCATATCCACCACTTTTGTATATCATCTGCGGTAGAAAATGGAGTTGATATGGTCAAACAATGTTTTCTTATCCGTACAAATTCTTGAAAAAAATATAGAAGAGAAATGACCATGAAAGGATCTTTCAACAATTCGAAGGTAAGATGTTTTAGATATTTCTTGGAGTTATGTTCTTGTTCTATAAACTTATATATATATATATATATATATATATGTTACCTCGTGCCAAGATGAATCCACCAAGAACAAAAATAGTAAGCAATCCAAATGAGCCAAATGTGTTGGCCACAATGATATTTCTCCCTAATGCCCCTATGAAACGAAATAGAGCAGACGACATCTGGTGAATGCATATGAGCAACATCAATTGTTTGAAGAACCTGCAACATGTGAAAATTCATCAGATTGAAGCATGCATTATACGAAATAGAGCAGAGGATGTACTATTTGTTTTGGTTATAAGTTATCACCTTCCGGCATCAGGATCAAATCCTATGACATAATAAGTCATAATTACCCAAGTGGCAACCTCAACAATTGTCACAGGGATCTTGAGAATCCATGTGGGTATAGAGTATGCCCAAGCAGGAAAGAAGAGAAGGTCTCTTTGTTTGTAAAACACGGGAAGCTTGATAATGCTCAAGGCTAGCTCTGAGAATCCGTTGAATGTAATCATGACTAACGTGAAAAACAATGCCCCCATGAAAATTGTACCATCAATCAATGTATTTTTTGGCATCTCGGTCCTTAGGAATAGTGTCATTGTTATAGTAGCCATGAAAATAAGCTGAATGAGGAATAGTTATAGCATTTAGAGAAATGAAAGTGCAGATAGAAATGCGTATGTAAGAAAACATTTTAACTTTGTTCTCGGTTAAGTTTCTTACCTGTGTCATCTTGAATATATACACAAAGGAGTTTCTTTTCATAAGCAAGTACTCTCTAGATATGCAAGCTTTTAATAATTCCTTTTTGTTAACACCGAACTTCTTTGTAGTTAAAGCAGCTGGGTGGCTCTTGGTTCTGTCAAACGGAGTAGAAAGTTCATCCCCTAGCCTTCTTCCAACATGGAATGACTGAAATGCTTCTGCAAATTCTTTTGAAGTAATGAAACTGTAAGGGTCTTCTCTTCGTATCCAGTACTGCTCCTGATCTTTCTTGGATGTCACCTATGATTCCCCACATTAGAAGTATAAGCCGAAAGTTATATTATTGTAAAACGAAATAAGTAGAGTTCTTGATTTGAGAGATGAAATTACTTCTTGTAAAAAGTCTGCAACTCCTTTCCTCTCGGGACATTTGAATCCCATGTACTCAAAAAACTCTAGCACATTCTCACGGGGACCTTGGTAAACAATTTGTCCATCCGAGAGAAGGATGATATCATCAAATAAGTCATACGTTTCTGGTGCAGGTTGGAGGAGTGATATTATAGAAGTTCCCTGAAGAATGTGGATTGATTGCCTGATCGAATTCACTATTTGAAAAGTTGTTGAACTGTCCAATCCAGTTGATATCTCATCCATGAACAACGCCCTTGCTGGTCCAACCAACATTTCCCCTGCATTTCAATTTCAAGTAATTATTCTAATTAGATTGAAATTAATCCAGCATGATTGATGGTAAGAGTTCTTTGAATACCACTCTTTTTCTTTTGATTTCTGAACATTTATTAGTCAAGCATGTTGTGACTCGAGCTATTTCTATTATATGTTTTCTAACACTAGAAAAGTACGTGGCATGAGAAATTTTCACCAAGTTTGTGCCATTTGCATACCAGTAGTGACTCGCTTTTTTTGCCCTCCAGAAATACCTCTGAACATTTCATCCCCTACTATGGTATCAGCACATACTTCAAGGCCTAAAATCTTCACATGTAAACATCACAGAAATTTAGAATGATATCAATCACAATTCACAAACTTGTTTCATATCCGTCATTGGTCAAGTTTATACCTTGATAACATACTCGGTGACAACACTAGCCTCTTGTCCTTCTAGCGATGCTGCCTGTAGAATTGAGCAAATAAAAATATCCAAGAAATTTTTAGGTGCAAATGGAACATAACAATTGAAGTGCATTTTTAAGCATGTATCTGTTATCACAAGCTTTTCTTTTCTTTTCTTCACCTTCATGTAGATGTCAAGATCAGGATCCGGCTTAATGTTTGCTTCCTTCTCTCTCCTCGACAATTCTGCCAACATTTCTGCAAAATTTCCAAAATCATATGAAGCAAAATGAGACACATATCATGTATAAGGTTGGTAAATTTTATAATTCACACACATCTGTATATATGTTTGTTAGTAAGTTTGTAATTTTCTTACTTACCATAACTTGCTCCAACTCCTTGACATCTGGCGGAGAACGCTAGTGTTTCTCTGACTGTCATTTCTCCAATATGAAGGTCATGTTGACTTATATAAGCCGATGATCTTTGTGGGACAAACTCATGCATTTCATGTCCATTGTAAGTTACTCTACCAGATACCTGTAGTCGTACACATACACATAAGAATAATGATTAGTTTGCAACAATCACTCCTCTTCATGTGATTTGGGAATTGAATTAGATTAGATTCTCTTACTTTTAAGTCTGATCCAAGTTTTCCAGCCAAAGCCAAAAGCAGTGTTGTTTTTCCGGAGCTTGGTGGGCCTAAAAGCAATGTCATTCTGTATAAACCATACGTATTGCGGTTATTTGTGATGGCAGGTGTTAGGAAATATCTTATAAATGAGATACTTTTTACGTTAAATCCTCACCTCCCAGGCTTAATAATACCACTGACATCATGAAGGATTGGTAACGGGATCTTTCTACTTGGAAGAAGGTGCATATAATTTAAGGATCCCTGGAGATATTGTTATAGAAGAGAGATTAGAAGTGAACTCAGAATTATGTTGAGGGCTAAAAATTGAGTGATAATACCTCCATGATGTTGACAATAAAGTTGAATACGGTAGGCAGTGCCCTGCCTCCAACATAGGCTTCTGCATCAATGTTTAAATGCTCAAACCGAACCTCGATAGTGGGAAGTTGAATTCCAACTCTGTTTATTTGAATGTCAGACAAAAAAAAAACAGGAATACAAGAAAACAAGAAGAAACAATTCATGATGACATCAAGTTGAGATTACCGGTCAATACGATCCTTGAGTTTCAACAAGAACTTCTCATTATCTTCCTCCGCGATTTTCACAAGCCTCTCGAGGAGATTCCTTTTCTCAACCAATCCAAGATTCTTGATATCAATTTCTCTCGGTTGGCCTTTCTCTTCAGTTAGTATGCCTCTTTCCAGTCGGAGATTTGTTGGTAGTTTCTCTATAGCTGCCCATTTCAATGCTTCTTCATCATCTTCTTCCACTGAAGACCTTGAAAATATATCTCTACCGCTTGTCCTCCATATGTTAGAACTACTTATACGTGCACTGCTAACTCTAAACACATCCCCACCCTCCATGATTATGATTACCACATAAAGAAAAACTCAAAGCTCTTTTCAAGTATGATTCAATGAGAATGTATTACTGAACTTGAAGAGCAATCAGTACTTTTCTGTTGTAGGATTTCAAGGTCTGAAGCATTTCATATGTGAGAATATTGTGTATATATAGCATCTTAGTTTACAAAGGACCAAAATTTACAGCTTTGTTTTGTTATGATGATGTCAAGAATGATATCATATATTATGTTATATGTATGGAAGCTAAGGTTTATATGAAGTAGGTGGGTCTGGCTTACTTGGTCTTTAATCATCATCACACCAGTACTTTTATCCTATTTACAGCATCTTTGTATCTTTAATTATTTCACTAATTTGATTTTTAATTTTTTGCCAGCTTTAGACTCAGCTGTTGGTACGGATTCAGGTTTCACAGCATCACAAAGAAGGTACTTTCCTTCCAATCTCACACCATTAATCTTCACATGTGAACAAGATCAGAAATTGGAATGGTTAGTTCTAGGAAACATCATTTGAACTTCATTCATCATGCATAGTTTTTTAATTCTTGACAGCAATTGTTTCTGTAAGTGCTTTAATAAAACTAAACATATTTTTCATTACCATGTTTTCAGTAACGGTCACTTGTATCCCACTTCAAATATGAAAAAACCGTACTGAAAATCAGTAAACTTTTTTGTTTCAGGTAAGCATATCGCATTGTTTTGAGTGTGCACGTGTGAGACTTTAATTACATGGTGATGGTGGTGGTGTACTCCTTAAGGTAAATGGCTTTCTCCTTTCTTGAAGCATGCCTAAATTACATCTATGTCCTTCCAATTGCATTCTATTTTTGAAATACAACTTAGAAAAAGAAAAGCATATTAACCATGAAAGCAATCCTTCATTGATTACTATACCATGTTATTGGTCGGCAATAGCTGGTTTGTTTTCTTAAATAATTACTTAAAAAAATTCAACTTAAATGCTTGTCCAATTGATCTTGTCAGAAAACCAAGCTAAACAATTCAGGCAAGTCAACCACCAACTTGAAAAAATAACATAAACAAAAAGGGAAGATTCCATAATCGAATGCAAAATCATATATAACGATTCTTTTCTGTTGCCCTTCTACGTTCATTCTAACTCCTTAGAAATGTAATCTGTATCTTTATCGCGTTCATAACCTGTCGATACATTCATTGCATAAAAGCCAGCATGATGTATCATCTGAATTGAAAGAATTAAGTTGAAGAAGAAGTAGAGTTAGGGGTTGTTTACCAAACACTTACCCGTTAAGCGCTTACTAGTAAATTTAACACTATCATTTACTTACCGGATAAGATTTTAGTCCACAAAAACGGTATCATATGCAACAATTTACCCGATAAGCGCTTACCGTGGTAAGAGTCGTCGCCTTCACTTACCGGGTAAGACTCTTGGTCCTTGTCTCGCTCTTACGGGGTAAGATTTTTGATACTTACCATATTTATCCGATAAGGTAAAATGACTTGGTGTTCACTTACCCGAGTAAACATTTGATAAACGGCACCTTAATGTTTTTTGTTGCAATTAATTGATGGTTCTTGTTTTGATAATATATATATATATATATATATATATATATATATATATATATGTATGTATAAGTCATGTGTAGTATCATAATATGTGGGATATGCTGTTAACAATATCCATGTTATTTATTAGAGGCCATTACATATCACATAAAGCTTGAGCTAGCTGTGTGACACAGAGACAACACATGTAGCTTGTAATATTATAATGCCTTGTTTACCCTTTGACATTTTTCAGATTTTTCTGTTTTGAGATCTTGATTTTAGGATGGAAATCTGTAGTTTTTAATGTCTATTTTTGGTGGATGATAAACATTGTGTTTTGTGCATTTTCTTGATTTTGCATCATTCCCAATTTCTCCATGCTTTCATGTGTTCAAACAAATCATATTCTTCTTCTTTTGGCTGAACCTGCATCCCTCCTCTGTGTTCTGCATTCTTTGAAACCATATCTAAGGTTACCAAAAAGAATTCTTCATCCTGAAGAATGGTCTCAAATTGCATCAACCACTTAAAACTTAAATGTACAAGTGCTTGATGCATATAGTACAAACCATTTATACACAGGGTTGTGCTTTTCCACAAGTTTTTGGGCCTAACTATAAATGTTAGCTTTTATCCGGTTACAATGTTTTACCTTTTTATATTTTTAGCTGATTTAGCGATTTTCTATTCTTGTTTATGAAGAATGTTAGAAAAATGATTCTATTTAAGTGATTTTCTTATATTAGTTTGTCATTTTAAGATGATTATGTTGTTTCAGTTTTAAGAATAGTCTTGTTATGGGTGTTTATGTTTTCCTTTACTTCAAGTATAGAGTAATGTACAACTTATGGTGCATGCTGTACAAGCCATTCTAGCACCATACAAAAAGATGGTTATACACAAGTTGATCACCGAGTTTTCCAACCAACAATTCTATGGGAATCTCATTAAGAAGCAACCACTAGCACATGCTTTCATCTTGTACCCTAACACCCCTTCATCTATGCTACACCCATTTTATTTTATCTGGTTTTATAAATATCTTGATTGTTTCATAATTTGAAGTCTTAATTATAATGAATGAACTCTGATCATCTTTCATAAATATCCAGATTATATTAATCCTTTAAAATATTCTCAAATATTTGACATGAATTTAAATATCATATGATGTTGTGTGGTAAAAATATTTTTTAGTAATTTGCAGGAAGAGGAAGAAGTTGGTCTCTCATTCATCCTTTTTGGCTTGTAGTGCACAAGGAATCATATTTGTGGGCAAAAGGAATTAGAAGTTTCTTTTGTAGCCCTATGAAAACATAGTATTGCAATTTATTAAAAAGTCAAAATAGGACAAGGAATCATACAAGTTGACATTTGGTTAAGTTTTGTCTTTAAATCAAACAAAATAAATAAAAATATTATTATGTATTTCTCAAAATATTCAAATAAAAAAACTTACGAAAGATTCATATTTGAATTATTGAAAAAATTCATTTAAAGATACATATATGAATTCATGTAAATAATTTGTAACGTCACTTTACATACAAATATTCAAATATATATTTTCAAGTATTTTAATGAAAAAACAATATTGATATTAATATTAATGGTTATTAGTGATTTATATATGCAATTTGATTAGAATTATACAATATGTGGTGTGATTTATAAAAATATAAAGGAGTAATTAACAATTCTTTTTTTAAACATAAATAGAAAAAAGGGGGAGGGGGGGGGGGAACCATATAAAGAAGATGATCATTGACTCATTTAATGATTTACTTAGTTTTTTAAAAATCTAATAATGTTATTTATTTATTTATTTAATCCTAGTTGTTGAGTTTCTAGAAAGAGCTTTCATAATGTATTAATAATTCTTTTATTTAAATATATTCCTAAAAGATTCCATTCATTGGGAAGTGATCAATTATATCTTTCCTATGTTTTCAAATTATTTTCTTTCAAACCAATCATATTTTGTTAATTAAAATTATTCAACTTCCAATAAAATGTATATAATTATGGTATTATGTTTTACCAAATACTTTTATTTCAATAATTTATATATTTGAATTGATAATGTTTTGTCATTGAACACAATTACCATATATATATATATATATATGTTATTCATCAGTTATTTTAGTCATACGTCCAAAATAATAGTTTTTTAATTATTTAAATTATTTATATGACACACAGATTATTAATTTACCTTTTATTTAAGACATATCATTTTATCAATAAACTTTTTCTTAGGGTAATAATTATCTACAAAAAACAAACAAAGCTTTTCTAACGTATTTTGTTGGGGAAATTGTGTCACTTCTTAATATTGTTTGGTTTTGATGATTATAAACAATTGAATCATACTGTATTTGTGTTGTGATTGAGTTTATATACAATTTTGGTTCCTATGCTTTAGTGATTTTAACGGTTTGAATCTCTAAAGTGAATTTTTAGCGTAATAGGTCATTTTGGTTTGTTTTTTTTTCCCAAGTGATTTGGGTCCGTAACATTGACGTAATGAAAATTAGAGTCCATTAGAGTGAAGATCATTTTGGACTTTTTGGGGTTTTCTCTAACCTCGTTTAACAACTAAATAAAATATTATATATATACATACATCATAAAACACAGGGATCCATCCATGAAACTCTTATGTTGTTGCTGTAAGCATCCATTTTCACATACGTCACTGCAGCCATTCATCTTACTTTCTCCCACGACTCCCTAACCATTGATCTACAGGACTCTTTGAAAATGTAATTCCCCATTGTTCACTATCATGGGTAAGTTCAAAGGATGGTCATGGTTGTGAGAGGAGAGGAAGCAGGAGGGTTGCGTGGATATCTCAAAAGGATTTTCGATTTTTAAAAGAAAATGATAGAAAACCCTGAAAAGACCAAAATGTACCTCACTTTAACATATTTTTTAATGTCATTTTCATTATGCGTTGTGAAAGAACCATGATGACCTATTTTGTTAACAACACACTTTAGAAACCCAATATGTTAAAATCACTAACACATAGGGACGAAAAAGCAATTCACTCTTCTATTTATTATCTTTGTTTTCAAACAAATATTCCACCTTGTGTTTGTTTGAAATCGAAACAATTTTTAAAACCACTTTTTGAGTGGAAAAACATTTTTCCCCGAAAGTTGCACTTTTTTTTTGTAAGGGTGTCCGGGCCAAAGCCCGACTAATCCCCGGCAAATTTGGAAGCTAAGCATGGCCTCACTTAAATGTCGCCAACACTCCCCTCCCAGGGTTCGAACTCGGGTTCATGACTATGTCATGTCCAAGCCTTTACCACTAGGCTGGAAGGTCTTTGACAAGTTGCACTTCATATCTAAAGATATTCAAATATTGCTTATGTTAAATACATAAAAAGATTAATAGGCCGATGTAATTTATAGGCCAAAATGTAATATATATATATATATGTGT